AGCATTTTTAAATCGTTATTGTTTTTTTAATCTACTGCAAGGTTAGGAAAGTTGTTATCTGTTAAGAAGAGATCGCAAGAAACTCAACAGTTATTCTTTTTAAATCTCTGTTAACATTATAAATATTTAAAAGTACTGGTGTCTAAAATTATGAAGGGTTTTAGTGCCCACGCATGATCTAACACCATGCACGCTTGTCATTCAAATTGATTGATGATACTGTATTCTACTGCGGAAATTAATTTATTTAAAATAAAAAAAGTTAATTAATAGACTTATATAAAGTAATAGATATATGGCGAAGTAGCCTTATACATGTTTTTCAGAGGGTGATTTTTTTACCAGAGGAGACTTCAGGCCAAAAGTCGTTTGCTTGGGTACCTCTGTCCTATTCGTGTTTCTACCGTGAAGCAGTTGTGTTTGCATGGCTGTGTTTTTTGCTTCAAGGTCGGATACTGCAGTGAATTTACATTTCCTAGGTACCCAGGAATAATACCTGAGTCCTCAGGAATGGCAATGCATGAGGGGTATTATAGGTGAAATAATTATGTCCATGGTACTGCTCATGTCTATAGGCAACGGTTACAACTTTCCATCAGATGGGCCGTCAGCTTGTTTGCCATTCTAAGCTGCATAAAAAAATCACATTGTTGATTTGAAGAAAAGATAAGGCAATAAAACTGCTGGGTAACTACACTGTACCTAGTACGACTTGAAATCTCAGGTTAATACAATTTATAAAAATAGATCTGATCTGGGATTTTTTTAACCAAATTACTTGCAATACTGATAAAATGGCGCGCAATGTTTTGCTTTAAAAATATGTGTAAAAAAATTATATCAGCCAAAGTGACGTTAGCTGACTAAGCTTTGACCTGTTTTGACGCTATATTTCTTATTTTTTATTAATCACTCTATCTATATGATTTGAAACTACAGGGTACTACTGTGACAGAAAAAGGTGCATTAAAACTAATAATAATAAAAAATCACGTGTTTATTAATTTATTTTTAATTAGAATTTACAATTAAAATAATTTTAGTTCTCGACTTACGTACATAAGGTGATATATTTAAAAGTAGTTCCAAAAATTATGAATACTAATTGTGTCGGTCACGTATAGTAGTCACGAATTTAGACACTTGAAATTTACAACAGATACGTTGATTCAAATTTATATTCCATACCTGACTTTATTTATTTCTAATATAAGTATAAATCTGTATAAAAAGTTTCATAAAAAAAAAAACCAATTCATATTACAGTAAACATAAAAGTTGTTTAATTATCAGTGTGCACAACGCACATTTTTGTTTCCTTTTAATTTTATTGAAATGAAATTTTTGTTTGTGACTTGAAGTTGCTCTCAGATTATGTTGTTTTCTCGTTCGCTTACTTGCTCCCTTTATTTGCTTTGTATAATTTTTTTATAATTATATTTTATTTTTAAAGACACCGTGTTTCCATATACCAGCATATAGTCCTTTTTCGAAATCGACTTACAACTGATAGAATTATGAGATTACAAACATTAAAAAAAAGATATAAACGAATTGAAAAACGCCTTCTGTTTAAAGTCGATTGATAAATTTCTTAATGGAAATAATAGAGATGTCTGGAGTTTGAAGTCAGTAACTTACCCAGTAAATACCTCTATTTATTATACCATCTACTATATAAGAATAATGATGACAAACTATTTCATTTTTTATACAACTTAGGATGGCAAACAAGCTGACGGCCCACCTGATGGAAAGTGGTAACTGTCGCCTATAGACATGAGCAGTACCATGGACATAACAGAGTATACTGTTTCACCTATAATACCCCCCATGCGTTGCCATTCCTGAGAACTCAGGTAATATTCCTCTGTACTCTGTAAATTCACGCCATATCCCACCCTTCGAACCGAGACACAGCCATGCAAACACAACTGCTTCACGGTAGAAACACAAATGGAACAGAGGTGCCCAAGCAAACGAACTTTGCACAAAGTCTCCTACTAGTAATCATTAACTATCATCATTACAATAACATTATAAATACTTAAATATATTTTATTTATTTATTATTAAATTCAAAATTTACTTATAAATATCGAACGTGTCTTGGTAGCTTGCATTAAAAAGAAAACCATAGCTTTATATTATGACTAAATATATTGAGACAATATATTTATGTGGTATATTGTAGTTTTAGAATTCATACATAGATATGACTTACACTAGAAGCTGAGTGATTCTTATACTACAAACACGAGTAATTATATTATACAATTGCTATTGAAATATTGCTCAAAAATTAGATAACAATTTTACGATTAAGAATGACAAATTAGTGAGATATATTAAAGGATCAGAAATATAAATGCAACACTTAGAATAAGAACAAAGTGATACCTGTCACTTTTATATTTTTATGTCTTAACAGTTTTTCTTGTAATATAAAATTATTAAAGGTCACAATAAATTATAGGTTATTAAGTTTACTTTAATTCTATTTTAAATACACAATCGGCACTTAACGCGATGTAAAAGCTTTTACAGGTAAATATTACCTACATACCTGTTTCTTTATTGCTGACGTTTCGACGTAGATTACACCACGTCGTAGCCACGTGTGGTCAAAATATATATAAACAACGTGAAAGTTTAACATTAATTACTTTAAACTTTTTTTTTATACCACTAACGTGGCAAACAAGCATACGGCCCACCTGACGGTGGGTGGTTAACGTAGCCTATGAACACCTGCAATACCAGAGGTATTACGCGAGCGTTGCCGACCCTGAAGAAACCTCTTTACCCCCCTTTTGAAGAATCCCATGCTGTAGTCTCTTGGGATAACCTTTTAATAGATCAAAAATTAGTACATCCACTTGTTAAAAACTAAAATTACGTATCTTTTTATATTGTCTATATGTTTATTGCCTCTTTTTTTCTACTATATCAGTTTTCGAATTCAAGTTCTTTATTTGCATTAAACATGATTACGTTAGATATTAGATTGTGTATACATCGAGCTATATGTTTCACCAAAATACTGGTATGTAAAATTTATTTTGTATACCAATATATTGATGAAGTAATTGTACATGGTTAAGACTTTTCATATGTCTAGTTTAGTTTTTGGTCTTTAACTATTAAAGTTTTCATACAATACTTGTAAAATTTAATTACAATCAAAGTACTATAATACGATCGCTAGTATCCATGTTTATTTTTTCCCTTTAGTTTATTTCATTCAGATGCATTCGTTTCTGCATCATTAACTTTGTCCTTCCTTAGCGTGCTTTTCTCTTGATCTAAATCTTTCTTCAAAGTAAATCCAAGTCTAAAATAAATACAAAGTAAATTTTAGTTAAATTAGAAACTAACTAAATTTATAATTATTATATATATAAGTTAAAAGTCATGCAACATATGTTATTACATATGTTTTTTCTCTTTTATTTTACCAATCTATTTTACTAGTTGTATCCCGGAGCTTCACCCACTTTTTTTTTTTATACAACTTAGATTGGCAAACAAGCTAACGGCCCACCTGATGGAAAGTGATAACCGTCGCCTATAGACTTGAGCAGTACCATGGACATAACAGATTATACAGTTTCACCCATGATACCCCCCATGCGTTGCCATTCCTGAAGACTCAGGTGTTATTTCTCTGTACCCTGTAATTTCACGCCATATCCCATCCTTCAAACCGAAACACAGCCATGTAAACACAACTGCTTCAAGGTAGAAACACGAATGGGACAGAGGTACCGAAGCAATCGACTTTTGTACAAAGTCTCCCTCTGGTAGAATTAGTACAAAAACTATCCTATACGCTACATTAGGGTGTTATATACTCGTGTAATAAATTTCATTCAAATCCATTCAGTACTTTTTACGTAAAAGACTAACAAATATCCATCCGTCGATTTCGCATTTATTGTACTAATAATAAAATCTAAGGCCTTACCTTAATGTACAAAAATATATAATTTCAATAAGGCTGAGGACAGAAAATCCGAGAAACAGTCCGAGTAAGCCACCACAATTAGCGAGAAAATCTGTCAGGCCAAACAGTTCTGATCGTCGCATTGATGCAAATCTCGGCTCTTTGAAGTAGATGTCAATTCGAGAATAATCGTAACTGAAACATTGTAACGACATAATAATACTTTCAACACTACCCAAGATTGACAGGTAGCAAATGCTTTGTCACTACTGTAGTGGAAAGATAAATAAAATAAGGTAAACAAAAAACTAGCTGAGCGGGCCGAGGCGCGCAGTCAGGCTCGCGCTCGTGGCACAGCCGCTCGTGATTAAGGATCACGAAATGATCAAGAAACTAGTTGTACTTTCTCGTTCTATTTACACGTAAGTTAAACCGGTAGTTATTACATTAAAATGAATAGGCATCAATAAATATATCTGACTGTAATTCATTTGAAAACATAGACGTTAGCTGTATTTAGAACACGTTTGAAGCAAAATTAGTTAATTAAATTCAAGTTAAATTAATTACAATCATTTTTAATTGTCAATTAATGTATGATTCTTCTATTAATTTAGAATGAAATTACGGCTGGGAAGAATGGACTCAACTGAAGAAGAGACTCAACTGTTGCTTTTTGCAACAAAAGTTTATTTTACAATTACCATATATATTATGAAAAATAAATACCTAGCAACTTAAGATATCTCGTAATATTATTCCTTAATAAGAATAAAAAAAAAAAATCCCTCAAAATAATAAATTATAACTTTAATAAAATCCATTTTCTTTTTTGATTCCAATTTTTGCTTATTACATTTTCGGTAATTTTTCTTAGCTTATGTGTGATCTTAGCTTAGATTGTATACCACAAGATCGAGTACCAAAAACAAGCCCAAATTCATTGAGCTAAAGTGATTTTAAAGTTTGACATAGAGCGCGCTATTTTTAAGTTTTAATATTCATTAATACGAATGGAAACAAATATATATTTTTTAATTCTACTGTTATACTTGTATGTCAATCAAAGCAAGGTGAAGATAGTATCGTTATAACCTCTTTATCCCGTTTGTTGGAATATGGAAGATATAACATTATAAAAATATAATAGTAATGCGGACTACCAGTCCCATTAGCAATATTCCCTGTCAGGTCGACCTCCACGTGGTCCGCTTGGAAACCATCGTGCTGAATTCTAGGCGTATTCATTACGGTGGGCTAACTGCCTTTTTATTCTCACTGGTGCCCCGCCAGAGTATACCGTTAGCGCAGACGGTGTACCATTCCATTATCATCCATTAAAAAAATATGATCTATGAGATAACAAGTTATTCAAAAGCTATTTCCGAATCAGCTATTAAAAAAAAAAACAAGGTAAATATTTTAATAAATATAATATTACATTGTACCTCTCAATAAGATTAGACAGGTCGATTTCAGCTAATTTCTGAAATTGATTTATTATTGAACTAAAATTGAAATCAGTCTTGAGGATTTCTGCATCGTAGGAGATCTGGTCACATGGTGGTAAACATAAGCACGGATCGGGTTCATCTTCTACAAAATCATCAAATATCTCATTGGTGAATTCATCTGCAACATTGATTCAATTAAAATTTAGACCGATGATGACAATACCTAAATATCACTACATAGTATAAAACAAAGTCGCTGTCGTTGTCTATCCGTCCATATGTATGCCTAAATCTTTAAAACTACATAACGGATTTTGAAGCGGTTTTTTTAATAGATAGAGTGATTCAAGAGGAAGGTTTATATATATAATACATGCACAATATAGCAGAGAAACACTGATAATTTTAGAGGTTTCTAATGTGATTATTACAATGTGATGCACCCGTGCGAAGCCGGGGCGGGTCGCTAGTCATTAATAAGATTCAGATCCAATTCTTTTAAAATTTGATAGATATATATTTTTATTTGCATTACTTACAGCACACAAATAACAACAGACATAGATAGACACACACAAAAAAGATTTTAATATAAAAGAATATACAAAATATACAAATATAAAAATAAAACCGTTTAAAAATGGGGAACACATAAAAGAAGTAATAAATTTAAAAGTTGAAAGTCTGTAAGAAATGTTGTTTCCAGATTTAATTGCTATGATGATGATAAAATATGTACAAGAGAATTAGAAAGAGAAGAAGAAAGAGAGAGGAAGAGAGATTGTAATATCTAATTTTAAAACCTAAAATTATCTATTTGGAAGAATAGTCAGAATAGATGCTTTAGATAACTTTTGCTAAATATAAGGCTAAATATTTTAAATCAATTACCTATAGCTTTTTTAATGCAGTCCAATTTATTTACAGTGCAAATAGATTCGCTGTCATTATCTGTAATAAAGTATAGTTTCAAACATGTTACATATACAATGAATTTATATATATTCAAATCCAATTTCTATATTACTGAAATAAAAGATGAGATTTTTAAATCTATTTATACGAGTATAAAAGAGGATGCTAATTGACTGACTGCCTTATATATCAACTCACGACTGAAACCGTTAAATCTAGAATCTTGAAATTTTGCAGATAGTTTCTATATATGGATGAATCATAAGAAAAGATTTAAAAAAACTGAACCCCTAAGAGGACAAAACGATGGTTAAAGTTTGTATGAAATTTTGTTAGTTTAGATGTTAGACTAATGAAATTTTAGAGAATAAGAAATTGAATAACATATGCGAGCAAAATCGCGGGGAAAGCTAGTTATTTATACAAAAGAAGAAAACTATTATGCAGATGAACCAGCCCTTCTTTGCTTTTTAAGAAGATTAAACCTGAGTCCTCAGGAATGGCAACGCATGGGGAGTATCATAGGTGAAACAGTATATTCTGTTATGTCCATACTACTGCTCATGTCTATAGGCGACGGTTACCACTGTCCATCAGGTGGGCCGTCAACTTATTTGCCATTCTAAGTTGCATAAAGAAAACACTTCCTATATAAACAACCCAGTCATAATCAATAACATGTACTTGAGTACCTATATCAGCATCATCATCATCACGTATCAGACATTGTCTATCCACTGCACACTTACAATCCTTCGAGTCTTGATTTGTACTAGAATATGTCACGTAGATAATATTACATTCGGTTATAATTCTTTTTAAGTTTATTACCTCATAACTCCGCTTGTTCTAAACTGATTTGAAATTTTTTTTTTATCTAAAAGGATATACTTACAGATTGGTCCCATATAATTTTATTTTTAATTTATTTTTAGTATTGTCACAATTGTAGTTGTTTTTTTTTATGGAACCCAATCTTTATTACTGAAAGTACTTAAAAAAAAGCATGCACAAATATTAGTATCTTGAAGATTGAATAAAAAGAAATATGCATACTTACGCGGCATATGAAACCAGACGCATCCACATTTTTTCAAAAGTATAATTCGCTTGACACTCCAATCTGCAGTTTTTTGAAGTGTATATTTTGAAATATCGCAAATACCTTTCATGTTGGAAATAACACTGACGTCTGAAAAATAAAAAAATATATATAAACTACCACTGGTTATTGGATTAGAATTATCCATTAACTTTTCCGTGCCCAAACTGCAAATACGCTGAACTATTAACACTAGGCTCCGAGCAGTGGTCTAATAATTTCTCTGAAGATGCCTCGTTGCCTCGTTTAGAGAAATACGTGTCGCAAAACGTGCGGAAACAAAATGACAATTGGAGATCAGTCGGAGATTGATAGTTAATATGGAAGGTTTTGGAACTTCTGGTAGTAATAGTGATGACCAATCTTCGAGTGTTGGCAGTCATACACATATTATTGGTAGCAAAATTAAACAAAAAAATTTGATCCAATAACTAGTAATATGGAAATCTGCAAGATAACACATAGTTCAGTAAAATATATACAAAATAGCAATAATACTGATAACGTATGTGAGCATTATAACCATTTTATGTTCATGTTACTGTCCATGTCTATAGGCGACGGTTACTATTTTTCGTAATGTGGCCCATCAGCTTGTTTGTCATTATAAATTGCAATAAAAATATCATTATATATTTTGTCATACCTATGGTGCTAAATGAAAAGGGGAAAAGGATCTGTATAGCGTAATAACTAAAAGCAGAAATTATCTGTTTAAATAAGAAAGATCACTTATAACAACCATATTATATTTTATTTAACATTAGAGAGAAAGTAATATAAACAAAATGTATTTTAGCACAATGTGGACTCCATACATTAATATGAACATATAAAACCTACTCCAATAGTGCTTATTAATGACGATTACTGCTTTACATTAGGTGGGCCAAAAGTTTGTTTGCCATTCTGAGCACAATAAAAAATAACGTATATAAAATCGAAACAGCATGCAACATGTAGTTAATAACACCTGGATTGCAAATTCCATTGACTTTGCATTCCAGATCTTAAAGATACTTCTTTGCAAATAATTATATTACATTTTTCTAATAACGAACCTACGATATGTAACATTGTTAATTATAAATGTATTTCTGTTTCTCGAGTGCTATCTATCGAGTGGTGGTCCTATTGAAAATTAGCACTGCAGCGCCACGATGCAGCTTAAACTGAGCGGGGAAGGTCTCCAAATTTAGCTGCTATCACAGAATTATTATTTTAATCTATAAAGTTATCATTAATATTATTATGTTTTGTAGTTGAATAAATGATTTTATTATTATTATTAAATACCTATTCAAACAATATTTTTTATAATATGTGATACTATTCATCATCATCTCAGCCATTATCTGTCGACTGCTGAACATAGGCTTCCCCCTTAAATTGCCATAAAGACGGTCCTGAGCCACCTGCACCCACTGACTTCCTGCAATGCATTTGAGGTCGTCACGTTATCTTGTAATATTATTAGCTGGTACTTATTAGCTATCCAACAACGTGCAAAATAGTGTGATAAAAATAAATAATACATACACTTCGGGACTGTAACTTTTTAAACTATTAGAAGTACTGATCATGTTAAATTTTAGGGCCACAGATGAGACTTGGCCGGGCAGTGACGCGTAGTAATACAGCGATGATTGCGGGTGATCAGCTGGATGTTGCACGAAAATCTATGGAAGTGAGAAATTGTAACATTGTTATGAAAAAATAAAATATCACTTTACTGTGCGTATGTTTTTTTACAACACAAGGGGAAAACGAGCTTGCGGCTCACCTGATGGTATGTGACTACCGCCGCCCATGATCACCCACAACACTAATGTCATTGCAGGTGTGCTGCCGGCCTTTTAAAAAGGAATATGCTCTTTCCTTAAAGGTTATGATGTCGTACCGGTTTGGAAATACTGCTGCTGGAAGTTGATTCCAAAGAGTGGTTGTGCGTGGAAGAAAGTGCCCTGAAAAACGCACGGTGGAAGACCGCCGCTCGTCCAGATGGTTGGGATGAAATTTTAATTAATGACGGGGTGTACGGTGTTGAAAATCAGCAGCAGGTATCAATTCGAACAATTCCTCAGGGCACTCCCTATGATAAATTCGGTAGAAGACGCACAGAGATGCAACATTTCTACGCAGTTTTAGTGGTCCTCCACATTGTGGATTGCACATTCACCAACGATGACTCTAACTCAGCGGTCTAATATAACTAGTGAAACCAATTTTATTTTTGAGTACTCATTTAATACAGTGTGACTGTATTAAATATATTTTAGTTTGCAGATGTCTTAGAACCCGTCTTTGATGAGAAATGTGGATTAGCTTGTACTCAGTGAGCGTATCTATCCTTAATATAATATATAAATATTATATTAAGGATAAATAATTATTATATTATTAAAAGTAACTATAAAGTTACTTTTAATAATATAATAATTATTTCACTACGAATTATATTACTTACTTTAGATCCTTTGAGGCCACCATTGCATGTTTCATCCGGATCTTGTTTGGGTGCTTGAAGGATAACGGTCAAATCGTAAATGGATCCTGAAATCTAGAAGATACTACTATTATATTTATAATACGAGTAAAAACTATTATATTAGGTAAAAATATGATCCCTACTACCCAGAGGTATGCACTTTGTGTAATCTGGATCTTCAATAGGCTCAAATGTTCGCTAGGTAGTCTTTCGTATTCCTATTATTCTAGTTTCTATTTTAGTTCGCCGGGTGGTGTCGGCATAAAAAGGCCCATTCTTTCCTTTCTCATGTTGTAAGAAGGAACTAAGATAATGTAACGGCCGAGGTTTAGGTAGCAACGTCCCTCTTAAAGTATCACCAAATCCTAACTGCGGTTGCCAATCCGCCTACTAAGCATGGCGACTACTGACTTAAGGAGGAGGCCTATGTTCAACAAAGGACAATTAACAGCTGATGTGATGATTATTCTAGTTTAAAATACTTAAGTAAAGCATACGAATGTGTTGCATTTATTTATTTTACACTTTATTTACTCGTACGTAGGTACCCAAAGACTGAGTCTTGCAGGTAAAACTGAAGATGGTTAAGGTATAAAAGGTAATTACAGGTAAAAAATTGTAAATACTTTTAAATATTGAAATAGCAATTGATATTTGCAATACGCAACATATTAAGATAATTTACCACTCCACGCCGTGGATAAGGGCCTCGATTTTTTTGGTATCCTCCATCTAAACTCCAATATTTACTTGTTGTCGAAGCATCACTATAGTTATACTGTTTTTGTATACTGAAATAATCAAGTACAGTATTAAAATTTAAGTTTTACATTTAATCACATTTAGAAAAAATGAGTTTGTGTACAATATAAACAACAAAAATAACAATCTTGAATATACTAATGATAATACATGTTTTTTTTCAATGGCTGATAATAAAATGGCAACCCCGCCTGCGCTAATTGTATACGCTGACGAGGTATCAGCGAAGGATGATAGGCGAGAATGAAAGGGCAGGTTAGTAAGCCCACCGTGATGAATACACCTGGAATTCAGCACAATGGTTTCCAGGGGAACCACGTGGAGGTCAACCTGATAGGGTATATTGCTAGCAATGGTACTGATATTCCGCATTACTAACGGTCCCTTCCCACCTTATACATATGTTAGTGCGTGTTACATTTGATAGGAACGAAATTTTAATTTTCAATGAGAAATAACATCTTACTTTTTCTGACGAAATATTTCATTGGCCGCCAATGAATTGAAATTGAAACATACGCCTTGTTCAGTTAATACAGTAGAAAACATTTCGCTGCAGTCGATCGCTGGGACACCACGCCAAGCACAATGAAAAATATAATCCGAAACCGATGGAGACACCTGAAGATGTTGAATAATAACTAATAAGTCGCGAATCGAACTTATAAGTAAGGGCTCTTATTGACTTCAAAACTAGTAGATCATAATGTTAAAAAAAAAAACTAAATGAAATTTTTAAATATCTTTGTATTTAAATTCTAATCCTAAGACTTTAGATTTAAAGAAGAATAAGTTAAAATAGGTTTCTCGGATGTAACTTCAAAGAGTCTTTATATTATTGAATAAAAAGTTAGTGAAGTAGTCAAACAGTAAGCAAACAATTGTCTAAAGAATGCAATGACATATTACTTTTTTATGCCCAAGATGTCGTAAAAGGCAATTATTAAAAAAAGAAAAAAAAAAAACATTAAATACTGAAAGAGGAGTGAGACTTGAAGTAAAACCCTATTTGAAGCTTCTTATCCAGAGATACCTTATTATTTATCTTTTCTAAGGACGACCCTAAATTTACAAGTACAGTTTTATTAAATTCATATTTAAGTTACATAATATTATAATTTAAAAACTTAAAGGTACTGCTAAAATTAAATTTTATTCTATTTAAAAACATGACAATTCAAACTAATATTATAATCGTGTCTACGATTACTCCTATCCATCCAAAGGTTGCCTGAAAGAGACAGCTTATAGCCCATTGTTTTCTCACTGCGATAAGTTCTTGTACTTGTTTGTATCTTTAATAAGTTTACTATTGTAATCTTTTGGAAGAAACAATAAAGAGTATCTGTCTATCTATAAAAAGATTTTATTTTTTTTATTTTTAATAGATAAACTCAGAAAGTACTTAACTAGTTTATTCATGAAACATTTTGATATATATAATATTATCGGCAAATTTTTTAAAGCTATTTTTTTTTTTGAATGAATGAATGGTTTATTTTCTCTTCACAAAAAGTAGAATAAAGTAACAACATGAGGTACAATTTAATATGAAGACCAATTTTGTGAGAGACTGGTGCTTGCGGTAGGTTTAGAAGAACCTGTGTTACAAATCACCAATGCCCCATCTCCATGGACTACACAAATACAAGGCAACCAATTAGTGTTATAATACACAGATCTATATTTTATATATGTTTCTATCTATCGACTAGTGTGAAACTGTGGTCACTAGTTAATTTATAATTTCCTAATAGTTTAATAACAATAATACCTTTAATATATTTTCAACAATTGTGGCATTACCCGTTTGCCTGTCTAGAGAAAACGTCGGGTACATCTGTTGCACCTCACAAATGAGGGCTATGTCTTGTGCTTTTTCCAACGCTTTCATAATGTCCACAGACAAATTTTTATACGAGTATCTGTAATAAAAAATTACACAAAACAAAGATGTTACAGTTATAGAACTACTTGTCAATATATTTATTTAAATACATTATCGGGACTTTGCACGATACATTTTTTTACACGTAATTAGTGCCTATATACCTGCTTTTTTATTGCTGACGTTTCAACGTGGAACGTGAACGCACGGCGTCGTGGTCACGACAAGACTGAAGTGAGCGGCGCCTTTGTATGGCAGCCCGCGTAATTTCTTCGGGTACCCTCACACTGTCACTATTATTATCTAAGTCCACGTCGAAACGTCGACAATAAAGAAGCAGGTTTGTAGGTACTATTTATCTGCAAAAAAATCTTTGTTTTAATCGCGCTAAGTCTTGATAGTGTATTTAAATATGTGTTAACAATGCAAAAGTTTAAAAATAACTATATACTTATTATTTTAATCGTTTTACATCGAATATCGTTTAGATTTTTGGGAGATTATTAAGGTGAGTGTAACAGAACGAAAGTGTGATTAGAATTAAAATATAAGGCACAAATTCGTGTTAAATGAAGCCTGCATATAAGTGAAGTGAGAGAAAAAAAGTATTACTAAAATGAATGTATTAGTGTAAGAGCTTTACCTTTTTAACCGATTTCAAAAATGAGAATGAGTATTATCAAAGTTACTAATTTCTTTCTGCGTTTAACGACAAATGTATGCGAGATGTGGTGATAAAATTATAAAAATGGGGTAAGTATTAGAAATTAACAAGTATATTTAAAAATATATTTGAAAACATACTTTTATAATGAAAATATGTGTAAAGAAAATTTTGGAGGGGCGGTCGTTTTAAATTTAGTGTGATTTTTACAAATTTTATCGTTTGTTTCTTGCTTAATTTAATTGATTTGACCCAAGCGAACAAACATGCCGTGTGGTCCTGACACAGAAAGGGCCATCCCTTCCTTTCCTGCAAGTATCGTAAGAGGCGAATAAGGGAACTTGGTCGAGACATTAGCAGCGTTTCTTTTAACATATCACCAAAGCTTAGAATGGCAAACAAGCTGACGGCCCACCTGATTTAACACTGGACATAACACTGTTTCGCCCATGATACCCCCCATGCGTTGCCATTCCTGAGGACTCAGATGTTATTCCTCTGTACCCAGTAAATTCACGCCATATCCCACCCTTCAAACCGAAACACAGTCATGCAAACACAACTGCTTCACGGTAGAAACACGAATGGGACAAGCAAGCAATCGACTTTTGTACAAACTGGTAATGCGTTTGCCAATCCGCAAAACTGGCAAAACTCCCCTTATGGAGGAGATCTTGGTTCAACAATGGATAGTTAACGGCTCATATGATTGATGATGATGAAACAAAATAATTATACATTGCATGTCGCAGTTTGTAATAAAAGAGTGGTTGGTGGTAATGGTGACATACTGTTCAATGTAAGAATTGTTCTCGTGGTTCAACATCGAGACTTCAGACGAATGATTATATACCGATGCCCGATTTTTTATGTCCGGACATATTGTCACAGACGGGAAGGGGACCTGCAATATATAAATTGAATTAATCACAGCATTACGATAATAATAATAATGTCTAAAAAAATATAATTGAAAAATATTTACGTGAATTTCCTTTTAGCAGATAGATAAATTGATAAACTCTTCATTTGCATCAACACTTGAGTCCTCAGGAATGGCAACGCATGGGGGGGTATCATGAGCGAAACAGTATACTCTGTTATGTTCATGTTATTGTAATAATGATAGTTAATGATTACTAGAGGGAAAAGTTGTTTGCTTGGGTACCTCTGTCCCATTGATGATTCTGCCATGAAGCAGTTGTGTTTGCATGTTTGTGTTTTGGTTTGAAAGATATGGCAATGATATTACAAGGCACAGAAGCATAACATCTTAGTCCTCAGGAATGGTAACGCATGGGGGGTATCATATGCGAAACAGTATACTCTGATACGTCCATGGTACTGCTCATGTCTATAGGCGACGGTTACCACTTTCCATCAGGTGGGCCGTCAGCTTGTTTGTCATTTTAAGTTGCATAAAAAATAAAGACATTTCTCACCATTTCGACAGGCACGAATTTTTCACTGAAACTGACTATGACAGGACTCGTTTGCCATTTCATCCAAACATTGCGTATTAATAGAAAACACAGCGCCACGCTTAATATGAAGGTTAGCAGCCAGAACAATCTGGAAACAAAAACACATCGTGTGAAACAATAATCGATCTAAATTGTTTCATTTTATGGGTCAAAATTGAATGGTAACTTCGCTTGCATTCTGGGTGTATACAGGCGAGGCAGTAGTGAGAGATAATAGGTGAGGATGAAAGAAAGTCAATTGGTCAATCGTGGTTTCCAGGACGAACCGCTTAGGTGTCGACTTGATGTGTTATCAATGATAATGGAATCATAATCTCGCCTGCTCTATCGATATACACTGACGGGGAGTGAGGGACAATAGGTGAGAATGAAACCAGCTCAGTTAGCCCATAGTGACGAAGTCCATAAGAATTTATCACGATGGTCTCCAACAGGAATCACGTAAAGGTCGACCTGATACGGTATATTGCTAGCAATGAGGCTGTTTGACCCTGTTACTGACAATCCCTATCTTCTGTTCTATTCACACATAATATTTATTTATAGACTGAAAAATAGATAAATAAATATATAATAATAGGTATGTAATAGGTAGGTATATATATTCCATTATTACAGATTTTTTTTACAACACAGGGGGCAAACAAGCATGCGGCTCACTTGATGGTAAGTGACTACCGCCGCCCATGGTCACCCACAGCACCAACAGCATTGCAGGCGCGCTGCCGGCCTTTTAAAAAGGAATATGCTCTTTTCTCTTCTCAGAAGGTTATGTTGTCGTATCGATTCCGAAATACTGCTGCTAGATGTTGATTCCAAAGAGTGGTTGTGTGTTTTTTTTTTTTTATACAACTTAGAATGGCAAACAAGCTGACGGCCCACCTGATGGAAAGTGGTAACCGTCGCCTATAAACATGAGCTGTAACCATGGACATAACAGAGTTTACTGTTTCGCCCATGATACCCCCATGCGTTGCCATTCCTGAGGACTCAGGTGTTATTCCTCTGTACCCAGTAAATTCACGCCATATCCCACCCTTCAAACCGAAACACAGCCATGCAAACACAACTGCTTCACGGTTGAAAAACGAATGGGACAGAGGTACCCAAGCAATCGACTTTTGTACAGTCTGCCTCTGGTACTTACTTCTCGATGACGCTAAGTCCATTCTGCGCTACATATCGCAGTCCGTGCAATGTCGTATTTTTCGCATAATCCAAAAATAGATCTTTCGCCAAGATTTTCTGTCTTTTTCTACGTTGTTTCCTTATAACAACTTTGGTGCTCAAATTGCGATGTTTTGGCCTAAAATTATACCAGTATTATTATTATACCAGCCAGTAACTGTCTACTGTTAAGTTTTTCTTTTTTTTTTTTTTTTTAATCTTCACATCTTATTAATCTAAGGAAAACAGTATACACAGATGTAATAAATAATACTCATAAAAGTTCTTTATTTTTTTTTATACAACTTAGAATGGCAAACAAGCTGACGGCCCACCTGATGGAAAGTGATAACCGTCGCCTATAGACATGAGCAGTATCATGGACATAACAGAGTATACTGTTTCGCCCATGATACCCCCATGCGTTGCCATTCCTGAGGACTCAGGTGTTATTCCTCTGTACCCTGTAAATTCACGCCATATCCCATCCTTCAAACCGAAACACAGCCATGCAAACACAACTGCTTCACGGTAGAAACACGAATGGGACAGAGGTACCCAAGCAATCGACTTTTGTCCTAAATTACTATCAATGGATAGGTAAAATTTCTAAGTCTAGTAATTTTAAATTTGGAATGCATATGTACGATTTATTTTACTCTAAACAACTGCTAAGGAAAAGCTTTTTTGGAAATTTCAACTTAAAAGAGGCAATACGACATCACGTGTGTAAAGTTACAGGCCAATACTTAGTATTCAAATATAATATAAAATTAAAGTTTTTAGAGATAGTCTTATTTTAAGGGACTTTAGTGTAAAAGGTACCTTGAAAATATTTTAAGCAATCGATACTTACTCCTAGGTCCTACTTAGGATTAAGAAAAGAGACTAATTGTAAAAACGATTGAGGTCAGAAGGGAAAAAATGTTAGGACACTTGATACGACACGACGAAGTTATGAACATTATAATAGAAGGTAAGATAGAAGGAAGGAGGAGAAGAGAGAGACCAAGACATAGTTTTTTTTTTGATAGGTGAAAATAGTATGGTAACCCCGCTTGCCCTAACGGGATACGCTGGCGGGGCACCAGTGAAGGGTGATAGCTGAGAATGAAAACAGGTCAGTTAGCCCATCATGATGAATTCATCAGGAATTAACCATGATAGTTTCAGGAAGAAGCACGAGGAGGTCGACCTGGTTGGGTATATTGCTAGCAATGGGATTCTCAGTCTCCATTACTAACAATCCCTTTCCCCCCAACCAAGACATAGTTACATCAGGCAGATCAAGGGAAAAGTTGGTCGTGTCGTATCAAGAGGTAAAAGGGACTCGCTGAAAATCGTACTGATTAGCAAGAGATACACTGAAAAGAGCGCAGCTGTTAAATAAGAAATAAAATAGATTACTCACTCCATTTAGATGCAAATATTAACGCGTACTGCTAGTTTAACGTGCAGATAGTAACTAAAAAAGTTAAACCGGATAATGTGGTCATCGCAACTAAATTAGGTTAAGAGCTTTCACTAATTAACAATTACCTTACCAGATGGACAATGGGGAATTGAATGTGCACCACACCTGTGTAAACAACTTTGAAGTATTCAATACTTGTTTGTAACAGGTTTAATATTTATGGGGTTTTTCCGGCTACTATGGAAATGAGGGTAATATTTTACAGGTGATAATGTATACGTATTCTATTTTACCAGAGGGAGAATTTGTACAAAAGTCGATTGCTTGGGTACCTCTGTCCCATTCGTGTTTCAACCGTGAAGCAGTTGTGTTTGCATGGCTGTGTTTCGGTTTGAAGGGTGGGATATGGCGTGAATTTACTGGGTACAGAGGAATAACACCCGAGTCTTCAGGAATGGCAACGCATGAGGGGTATCATGGGCGAAACAGTATATTATGTTGTACCATATCCATGGTACTGCTCATGTCTATAGGCGACGGTTACCACTTTCCATCAGGTGGGCCGTCAGCTTGTTTGCCATTCTAAGTTGTATAAAAAAAAAAGAATAGGTCCTTATTACAATATTGTGAAAGTGAGTTTGTTTTTCTTGACTCAATGCTCTATCTATGTATGTAATCTTAGGTTATATATTATTATACAGTACGTCATATAGTTATATACTATTAACATAGTCTACTTTTTATTCTGGCCAATGAATATTTTGACACGCAGACGAAGTCGCGGGGAAAGGCTTGTAAACAGCAATGAATGTACTATTCAAACTTTTACATACTTCAAACTACAAACAGTAATTAACTGGAGGGAAAGGGATTGTTAGCAATGGAGTTTCACAGCCCCACTGCTAGCAATATGCCTTATTAGGTCGACCTCCACGTGGTCCCCCCTGGACACCATCGTGAACAATTCTTGTTGAATTCGTCACGATGGGCTAACTGACCTACTTCATTCTCACCTATCATCCTTCATTGGTGCCCCGCCGGTGTATACCGATAGCGCGGGTGGGGTTACCATTCCATTATCATCCATTAAAAAAAAAAAAAAAAAACAGTAATTAACTTTAGCGAACTTCACAATTGTCAATAAAACAATCCAACATTCAATATTTCAAATTATTACATCAACACACCGACTAGTCAAACACTCGGAGGCTTGTTTGCACTGCGGGCGAGTGCTCAAGCGAGTCGACTGGCGCGTCACGGTAGCGCTCGTGTGTTTTGACAGGCTGCTGAGCAAACTACGCCTCGAGAGCAACGGGATAATTGTGAGCATTGTCGGTGTGGATAGGCTAGTGATGGGCAGTGAACTTTAAATGGTACATCTCGAAAAAATATTTATTGTTTTTTTTTTATTAAAAGTACGATACTAGACATTAGACACAGCGCCATCTAGTTGAAGGCAAGCAAAGCCGATTTACCTTTTATAGATGATATTTTAAATGATACAAAAAAAAAATGAATTGATGTAATAAAACTGCAATTACCTTTCTTATTTATATTTTGTGTTTATTACATATATATCTACATCATAAAAAATACTTTCACAAGTTTAGTTAAAACTGTGTTTCGGTTTGAAGGGTGGGCACAGAGCAATTACACCTGAGTCCTCAGGAATGGCAACGCATGGGGGTATCATGAGCAAAACAGTATACTCTGTTATGTCCATGGTACTGCTCATGTCTATAGGCGACGGTTACCACTTTCCATCAGGTGGGCCATCAGCTTGTTTGCCATTCTAAGTTGTATAAAAAAAAAACTGAAATATAAAAAAAATCTATAAAAATTAGACTTTCATAATGCGTTACTAAAATTGCAGATTTCAACAATAGCTGCTTTAAAATGCATTTAACTGTTAATTTATTTGTTATTTAAATAAATGAGTGAAACGTACGGATGATTTTTACGCAATACGGCGCAAACGAATTGTTTCGCTGTTGGGTAGGATACGTGTTAGCTAAAACAGTGTCCTGAAGACAATTGCCGGTGAAATGGACTGTCCCATCCTAAAATATTGGTTGGGACAGGTTATCAATGCACGAGCGTTAGGAACGCTCATTTACTAACATAGGTTAAGTAAATGTATAACTAACAAAATGGACCTTATGTTGTCTAAATAAAGAATAATCATAATTATTAAAACAGTTCTAACTAGGCTAGGTTCTAATAGGTTTAAAACCACTGTTTTAATAAAGTTAGTCGATCGATTCATCGAATTAGGAATTAGTATTATTATTAATTTTAACAATTTAAATGAATTTTTGTAAACTATAAACGTATATATTAGTGTTGTGACATTGATTTAGTTTGAAACTTAGATTGTAATTTTATTTTTATTTGACATTTCTAACTTTTTCATTATTTATAATAGCTTTATTGACTGCTTATAATGCATGATAAAAGTATGCACTTGGTACCAGCAGTGATTTGTGTATTGTATAATGTAACAAGTAATTGAAAATTAAATAAATATATAATTTACCTATATAAAATAACCTATCTATAGGTAAATTTAATAGTTAATATTTGCATGCCATTTGATGTGGCGAAACATAATGGACATCTTATAAACTTCACAAATGCAACACCTTTTCTATAATGTTTCTGGCAAATTTCATTTAATTTCATTTAGAACATCTCTATACCATAACCTATACAAACACTCAATACTAAGTACAGTTTTGTATGATGGATGATGGTAGCGAGACCCACTAGTTAATCGTGTTTACAGAATCAACACTTGATATCGACATTTCTAAATCCACGGGTGGCCTGGCTACTGTTTGTATTTGGCCTCAGATGTGAATGCAGCACCGTCTAAAATTTAAACAACACTCAAATTTTGAATATGGCGCTATTGCAAAATCAGCTTTATGCCCCATATCGATAGAGTTCATTTTATTTCCATCGTCCGTGTTGAAAATGTTTTCTTAGGTGTGCTATGTGGGGTTTTGTTTGATGAAACAATACCTTGGGCAAATAGTGTAAAGTACTTTTGTTATCTGTGTTATAATAATTTGGCAGAACTATATTATTATTTTTTTCATTTTTTTTTTACTATGAAAACCAGAGAGAGACTTTGTACAAAAGTCGATTGCTTGGGTACCTCTGTCCCATTCGTGTTTCAACCGTGAAGCAGTTGTGTTTGCATGGCTGTGTTTCGGTTTGAAGGGTGGGATATGGCGTGAATTTACTGGGTACGGAGGAATAACATCTGAGTCCTCAGGAATGGCAACGCATGGGGGGTATCATGGGCGAAACAGTATACTCTGTTATGTCCATGGTACTGCTCATGTCTATAGGCGGCGGTTACCACTTTCCATCAGGTGGGCCGTCAGATTGTTTGCCATTCTAAGTTGTAAAAAAAAAATTAAAAAAATTGAAACAAAAAAATTTTTACTTATAAATATTTGTCTCTTACAAACTAAAAGTATTCAGTAGATTTTTACTCAAGTCTTTTTAATAATTAAATAATGCTGTCATCATTATATCAGTCGTCCTCCGTCCACTGATATAACACCAT